GTATTAATCCACTTGAAAATTACATATTTTTATTGTATATTTCATGATAATTTTATGTACATTTTTAATGATATTAAACTTTAAAGGAATATATTTTGCATGTTTTTTGCCTTCCGATACAAGAAATAGACTTTTAGAAAAAAATGGAGAAAAAACTATGTCATTTGGAGTCAAATCGATCAAAGAGGAAAATTCTAACGTGACACATTTTCATATGTCTTTCTATGTTTAATCTCCTTTAAATTATCACATATTTTTTAAGGAAATTACGCTTTAAAGAAAAGTTATTTTCATGTCTATTTTGTAGGTATATCAATTTGGAGCATAACAGAGCTAAAACGAAGTGAAACTAAGCTGAAATAGAGTAAAATGGGGTGAAATGATGGAGATGTTTGAAGGATGGTGCCTAAGCACTAGTGACGACGAGAAAACGGTGCCTAGGCACCAAAAACTGGATCATTGGTGCCATAAACGGTTGAAGACAGTTTTGGACAACTTTTGGTGGTTCCGGGTTGTTTTGGAAGGTTCTAGATGGCTATGCACGTTGCTTGGAGTAGTTAAATGAATCCAGATACTTGGAGTGGCTTTTAAATAAGTAGATGTGTTTCTTGGTGTGAAAGGGTGTGTCTTTTGGATGAAGATATGTGTCTCTTGAAGAAAGGAGGGTTTTTTGCTTCTCTTTAAATAGAGATGTTTGACGCCTCTCATGATAAGTAATTAGAGGAGTCTAGAGAATAAGTTAGGAAGTGTTTTAGGAGGAGTTTGGCGTGAGTTTATGGAGATATATATTTCTTCATTTTATGGAGAGATTGGTGACGGGTTTTGAGAGATTGGAGTGAGGAAGTATTAGCGGTGCATGGATGATAAAAGACTTTGTTGGAGAGATTTTTTGTCTTTCTTTCATAGAGAAAAAGATAAGTATTATGTTCTTCATTATCTAGTAATTGTTGTGAACACTTTCTAGTGGATTTTCTTTGATTTAAATAAAGTTTTCTGTTGTGTTTTATCTATGCTTCGTATTTAATTTTCTTTACTCTTTTCTTTTAATATGAAGTAGTGGCATGTGTAGGAAAATTTGTTTCATGATAGAACTATTTTTATTTTCATGTGATGAGTAATATCTCCTTCACTTCATTGACATAACTTAAGTGGCAATAGGATATGCTAAAATTAGTTGTGAGTGAAATTAAGACTAGGGAGAGCAATGATCTTACAACTTGAGTGAGCTCTCATTGTCTGGTTGGCTATTGCAAAATAGTATGGGCAACAATGCAACTTTTTAAGAAATATAATTAATGATTTGCTTCTATTAGAAGCTCTTAGGTGATAGATAGTTGCATAAAACTATTAGAATACTAAGCATATCTATTTGGTTGAAAGAGGGTAAGTAGACATATGTTCCTTATTAGCACTTAGTTTATTACATAATTCTACCAATTCTTTTACTGCTTATGCCATTATCTTCATTTAACTTTTCTTTATAAATGAATTAGATACATTTTTAGGAATATACATTTGCTTAGAAATTCTCTTATTTCATAAATGTGATGATATTTTTATCGGTCTTTCATTTACTTTACAAACTGGCCACTTGTATTATTAAAACCTATTGAGAAACTTATTGACCTGAATGTGCTAAGATTTCTTAACTTGTAAGTATCACATTCTACCTTGGAAAGAGCAGTCGCGATCGTCTGAAGGGGGTACAAATAAATAGGGAGATAAGATTTTATGGGCATTTAATTGTTGTTTCTAGGGTGACATGCTAGATTCTTTTATCAATTTGGTCAAGAAATTGGAACTAAGGGTCACTGGTAGGTCATATAGAGAGGGCATAGTAGGTAATCTAGAAGTGAGAAACTAGAACCTACCCAGCTGATGAAGGCAGATTTATTGTGTATTGTTTTTATAAATATTTTTCAATATTACAAATCACACACATGACAGTGTTAATGATAAATATATAATTCAAATCCAAATAAAAATAACTTTAGTAAAAATAATTTTATTTTTTAAAATCCTTAAACTACCAAACCCGTAATAATAATGCGTAATAATAATGCAAGTATAGTATAAATATCGCTCAAGTAATAAAGGGCACTAATGGAGTCCTAGATATCGATCCCATAGGGAAGTTGGAAATGCTTATGAATATAATGTAAAACACAATTCAAACTTCAAAATGTAAGTACAAAATTCAAATCTAAAGTAATTGAGTGTATGTTAAATAAATGCAATTAAAAGAACTAAGTTAACTAAACTAATTACTAAACTTCAAAAGTAAAGTTTATAAACTAAACTAAACTTCAAAGTTTCTATGGCGAATAGCTCAAATTTAAGAAAGCATCATTCCCCTTTACAATTAGCATATGAATTGTGAAGAAAATAAAATCATTTAATATATATATATATATAGATATATATATATATATATATATAACAAAAGGCAAAATTATATTGTTGAACTAGAAAAGAGTACAGATCTAATATAGGGAACCAGCAAAGGTCTCCCTTCAACCAGAAGGAAAGAGGAGGGGGGGACTAGAAGAGACTAAAGTTTCATCTTTTCAACTAGTCATTCTTGCTAGCCAGTTAGCAAGTCTATTTCCTTCTCTGTAGTTGAAGCTTAATTGGAAGTGGCAAAAATTTCTATAAGCTTGAATAGTTTTGAGCCATTGGAGTGTATGTCAGGGGGGGATAAGATTCCTTCTACCATTTGGATGAGCAAGGTACAATCAGTTTCAACCAGCATGCAAGTAACACCATTTCATTTAGATAGCAATATTGAGTGCCCAATATATGGCAATAGTTTCAGTTTCTAGTGCATCATGAGCAGTCATTGGGATGTTGAAAAAAAATTTACAGGTACCTTTAGAGTCTCTGAAAACCCCACCAAAACCAGCTCCTACTACACTACAACTCCCATCAATGTTTGCTTTAATCCAAGGGTTGGAAGGCTTTATACAATTTACTTTAGAGGCTTTGTAGGTTTTATGTGGAGAGCAGCTAATAGTGCAACAACTTTCTGGAAATCCCTTATGTTTAATCAATTTTGCAATAAAAGCTTGGTAGTGTATCACTGTTAAATGCACTGAGGGAGAGTGGTCTTCAAATTTAGATTTGTTTCTAGCCATCCAAATGAACCAAGCCACCACAAAAGGGATGATGCTCATATTGATATTTCATATTGATATATTATTCCATGTATGCCAGCAGGAAGAGAGGGAGTCCCAATCCAAGATCAATAGGTTCACCTTCAAATCTTTGACCAGTTTAGACCAGACCTTTTGGGCAAATATGCAATGAAAGAAAATATGAGGAATAGATTCTTCGACCATGAAACAAATATGGCATATGGAAGGTCCTCTCAGCCCTTTAAGCTTAAGGAGATCATCTACAGAAAGAAGTTTATGAAAAGTTCTTTAGGTGAAGAAGGACATAGAGGGAGTGATGTATTTATTCCATATAACTTTTCCCCAAGAGACAGAACCCCAGCTGAATAATTTTGAATAGATGGCCATATATTCAAAATTTTAAATAGATGTATTTATTCCATATTACTATGAATTTTGCTAGAATTAATAACTATTCTGTCTTTCTGCTCTCTGTTGAAGGGGATTTTAGAAATGCAAGCAGTGGTAGTTTGGTCCAGCATTGAAAAGAGTGTCTCCACTGATCAAGAGTCACCATTCCAGCAATCAGCAACCAACAGGTTTTGGTCAAAATCCATTGGTCTGGGTGAAAGTAGATCATGTGGACACCATTGATCCAGCCAGAAGTGTACTCTCCCCTTCCCAGGGTCCTAAAGGAATAAGTTTTCTACCTGGTCCTTATTTTCAATAAGTTGACCCATACATATGAGTATAACAGCTTCCTTTCAACCAGGTTAGGAACAGAGTGTTTAAAATATTTCCTCATCATGAATTTTACCCATAGTGAGTTTTGCATTTTGAACTTTAGCCATAGTTTTCACATGGTGACCTGTTGGAGATGCTTTAATCCTTTAAATCCTAGTCCCCCAACAATAGTGGGTTTAGCAGCCTTCTGCCAGCTTGCCCATTGCAATTGTTGCCTTTGACCTGCCAAGAGAAATCTATTGAAGCTTCTTTCAATTAACAATTGGATGGATTTATTCATACTTGTGACTTGGAGAATTTAGGAAGGGAAGGATGTGAGGATACTTTTCAATAGAGTAATTCTCCCTCCATTAGAAAGAAAGGAGTTTGTCCAACAATTGATTTGAGCATTGATTTTGGTGATTACTTGCTCAAATTGTATTCTTTTAGTTCTTCCTTTGATAAGTGGCACCCCAAGGTAATTGAAGGGAGGGGTAGCAATTGAATATCCAATAAATTCATCAATCCAGTGTTTAGCTACAGGCTTAGTATGTTTATTAAAAATCAGTTGACATTTAGAAGTATTGACAATCATACCAGAGGTGTCTTGAAATTGTTTCGGGCATTTGTGTATAAGTTTAATAGCATTTATCTTACCCTTAGAGAACAAAATGATGTCATCTACATACATCAGGTGGGTGACCTCCATAGTAGATCTGTGATGGAATCTAGCATAAGTTTTCCGAGTTAAAGCATGGTATAAGATTCTTGAGAAATAGTTCATTGTCATAATAAAAATAGAAGGGGATAGAGGGTCTCCCTGTTGGAACCTCATTAGATGTTGAGAAGAAACCATGAGAGGATTCATTTAGCAGAATAGAGTGTGATTAAAATGCAGCCATCTGAAAATGAGGTTACAAAAATCTTGAGAAAAGCCCCTGGCTTTGAGGATGTCTAAAATGAAGGACCAATGAATAGCGTCATAAGCTGTTCTAAGGTCCAATTTGTAAATGATTTTGCCCCCCTGCAAGGGTGATCATATCCAGAAGTATTTCCTAGGCCAATAGCACATTATCAGAAATTGCTCTACCTTTGACAAAAATAGTTTGGTTTGGTTTGATGAGCTGGTTAAGTGAGGTTGCAACCTTGCAACAATGATTTTACTTATGATCTTGTTGAAGAAGAAAGTATGAATTATAGGCCTGTACTGATTCCAATTATTGCTTCCAGCAGTTTTGTGAATGAGAACATAGCTAGAGGAGGAGAAATAGTTGGGGAGGGGAGTTCCTTGGAAGAAACAATGAATAGCTGCAACCACTTCCTCCTTTATAATAGTCCATGCTTTTTTATAAAATGCAGCAGTGTAGCCATTAGTACCAGCCACTTTAGAGCTATCAATACTCTTGAGAGCTTCCCAAACTTCAAAATCAGTAGGCATGGAGGCAAGTTGGAGTTCCTTAGTATAATTCAGTTCCTGTTGGATGAATTGTGGATCCACATGTATTGGAGTAGACTGAGAGTCAGTAAGAAGGTCTTGAAAAAAATTCACAGCATTCCTAGCAATACCCTTACAATCATTGATCCAATTTCCGTCAACATCTTGAATTATATGAATACTGTTGCATTTCCTTCTGTACTTAATGCAGGCATGATAGTCTTTAGTATTCATATCCCCACCCATGAATCTGTTAATAGCAGCTTTTTATTTGAGGAAAAGCTCCAACCTTTCAATTTCCAGGAGAACCTATTCAGCATCCTCCATAAAAGCAGCCTCATCCACAGTGCCATTATTAAACTCAGCTTCCAATGTTGCCAAGTTCTTCTTAGCATTGTCCACCTGGTCATAAACATTCCCAAAATAGTTCCAGTTCCGTTGCTTGAGGAATAGGGCCAAAGATTTCTTCAATTGCCACAGATTGATAATAAGGTTGGAATGGTGAGAACCTTTCCAGTGCTCTTTAATCAGGTTTAGAAACTCAGGGTGTTCAACCCACGTATTTTGAAATCTAAAGGATTTAGGGCCTTTAAGTGGGGTGGCAGTGATAGAAATGAGTAAACGTATGTGATCAGACTCTAATAAAGATAAATGATAGACATATGTATGCTTAAAAGCCTGGAACCAATGATCATTCACAAGGAACCTATCCAGCCTTTCCCATATCTGAAGTCTTTTCCAAGTGAAGCTGGCCCCTGAAAACCAAGGTCAAAAAGGTTTGCAGCTTTAATATTGTCACTAAATTGTGTCATTTTGAGAAGATTAGGTGGTCTGCCACCTGTTTTTTCAGAAAGGTGACCATATAGTTAAAGTCTCCTCCCACCAGCCAAGGGGAGGTCATAGAGTTTCCAATGTTGATTAGTTCATGCCGAAGGGCTCTTCTAGCATTTTTGTTACAACCAACATAGATAATAGTTGTGAAACCAGTCTTGTCAGCATCCTCAAATTTGAAATGGACAAACTGTGGATCATCCATAATGACTGACCAAGTAATTTCATTTCTATAAAGGATCCAAATTTTATTGTTACTATTCGAGTAATGAGAGAAGCCATGGAATTGAATCAACACCTTTGAGGATATTTGTGAACCATTGGTTCAAGAATAGCAATGCACCAAACTTTGTGTTTTTTATTGAGATGGAGAAGCCTTTTTAATGGGAGTGGGTGAGCCACTCACCTAATATTCTAGTAGAGCAAATTAATCATGATGGGTTGATTTGGATCTCCACCTAGTAAGCCTGGTGAGGGGGTCTCTTCTTGTGGAATAGGAACTATCAGCTTCAAGCACAAATGTCTCCCCTTGGGGTTCAGTTACGGTTTGTTTCTTCTTCTTCCCAGCTTTTCATATCTACCAGCCCTCCTCCAACACTCTTTGAAGAGCAACCAATGGGGGGAAATTCAGAATGCCAAGGGCCACATTAGTTTGGTCCTTTAGCTGTTCCATCCCATTCATCACTAAAGTATTATTGACAGCATCTGGAAAGGCCTGAGAAGGTAGTGTAGACATGGAGGGGTGGGCTCAGATCAATTTGTCCAGCTATTACACCACATTTTACACCAGAGTAATGTTTCCAGATTCAGGAAGGGTTTGTGTTGGGGTAGATGCTCCTTCAGGTGCCACACTGAGAGGAACATCCTCAGGCATAGTGGGATCCACTTATGGTAGAGGGTCTTCTGTGAGGGTGGGTTTTTTGATTAACCTGTTCCATATTAACTGTAGTATGTGAAAAGATCTTATAAGAGGTAGGAATATTCAATCCCCTATGAGGTGAATTACCCATAGAGGTGGGTTCCATGACTGTAATTGGGTTTTCAATAAGATTTCCTTGATCAGGTTGTTCCTGGATATCAGTAATGTGGGATGGAAATTGGTTGGGGACAGATGGTTGATAAGAAGTTCCTTGAGAGTTGGAGTTTGTTCTAGGCTTAGGGTGGAGTTTGAAGCATTTAACCTTGGAGTGACCAAACATTTTACAATGAGTGAAATAATAAGGTTTTTTTTCATCACAATCTTCTACTAGTAACCATTGTGAGCAGTACCTAGCACAGTTTCATCTACTTCGGGAAGGGTAACGTCCCTTTCCACCAGGATTCTAGCTGTTGAGGGTCTTGAGAGGTTGTAAGTTGGGACATCAAGCTTCATATGTCTGCCCATAGTTGTGCCTATAGTAAAAAGAATTTGATGATGGAAGAAATGCAACTTTAAACCTGTGAGTTTGAACCGAATAGGAAAAATGGGAGGTTCCTGACTAAGATCAAAGTTTGGAAACCACTTTAATAATTTCATTGCCATCCCTTCAATTTACAATATCTATTTTGAGAAGAGTCTAGTGTAGTCATCTTCCCTAGATAAATGTATAGACATATGTATACCATCCACAAAGCCAACTTTCCAATCACTTAGGAGTTTTAATTCTTCAAAATATTTTCTAATAGCTTTCATCTTAGGATGAGCATATTGGAATTTACCAATTAGAGTAAATTTGAAGGAGGTTGATAGTGCGTGTATTCAGCTCCGAAAAAATGGCAGCAGGTTTCCCTGCTTTTTTACATAGTTTCTTAATGTAAGGGAGTTCACCATTGTCAACTCCCTATGGACGGAGGTGGGGAATGTCATCAGTTCTACAGAGTTTTGGAAGGTAGAACTCTTTCCAACCACATCAGCAAACATGGCTTAGACCATTGTATATTGGTTTCCAAGTCAATGGAAATTGCCATGAGATCCAAACACCACCACAGATATAAAATAAATTTAGAGTCACTCCAACAGGAGGTAAAAAAACACCATAGACAAAATAAAAACCAGCTGAGAAAACCCAAAATAACCAACACAAAACAACTTCAATGCAACAGTAACCTCAATATTCAAAAACCAATTAACCTGGGAAAACAGAAAAACAATAGTAGATCCTCCATAAAGTCCAGGAAGACCCATGAGACCACTTCCAAACAAAAACAGACAGTCAGGGAAGTCCACCATCGAAGAGCAGCCGCTAGGCTTAGATCTGCTTTCCCTAAATCGAGTTTAATCGGGTATCATTTTCTAAATTAGGCACTTTTGATTGTTTGATTTAATAAATTAAAATTTTGAGAAAATCTCAGCTTATTTTATTTTTATCATCTTATATATATATATATATATATATATATAATTATTATGTCAAATAGGAGTAATTCTATTCCTTACTCTCTTTCAAGTGCATAAAGAAAATTAACTAATCCAGAGTTTGGTCCCTAATTTCATGGTTAGGTTGGGAGGATACCGGCAATCACTCTAGAGCTCCCACTTCTCCCTCTTCTAAGGGCTAATAATATCACATTAGTTTTCAATCAATTGGACAAAATTTAGGATTTTAATCTGTCACCTTAAAATCTCGAATTCTATATCCAACAAAATATATTTCCTTATTTATTTGCATTCAATCCCATGGATAACATCCTCATCCTTGAAATTGAATGTGACTCTCACCTTGTTGTAGAAATCATAACACATTTTAACATTTCAATTGGCTAGATCAAAAATTAAATGAAGATCAAAGTTCAAATCATCACAAATTTTTGACATTTAAAACCATATAAAAAAAATCAATTCTTCACAATCAATTCTAAATCAATTCTTCACAAAACCATATCTCAGAGTAGGGAGAAGGATAAAGAAGACTGCTTAGAATTCATGAGAAGGATATAACAAAACACGAAGTTCATATATAAAAACAAGTTTACAAAAAAAAGAAATAAAAGACACAACTTATCTCACAATCCTTCCCATGCAATTCCCTAGAAGTTCTCTTTAAGCACTTTCCCTCTTAAGCACTTTCCCTCTTTGCACTTTCCCTCTTTAACAACACTCTCAATTCTCTCTTAGAAATTTAATGAAGAATAAATCTTTCACTTTCCCTCTCCTCTTACAACCCATGAAGAAAATCTCTAAGTACTTGACTCTCTCTCTCTCTCTAACTTCTCTCACGCCACCAAAAAAACCATTCTATCACCTCTTCTTCTTCAAGCCCGAAACTTTCGTCTCTTTTATTAGAGGTTGCCTCCCTCCAAAAAGAATTTAAAATTCCCTCCAAATTTCTATCCAAAAGTTAAACCTTTTGAACTCCAAAAGACATGTCCATTGATTCAAGAGACATATCCCTTCATTAGAGAACCTTCCAAAGTGTCTATATGCATTGAATAACTCCATGGGGTGTTTGAAACATTTGGAGCCTTTAAAATTCATGCAAAATTTGTCTCGAATTGTCTTAAATCATAAAATGTCATCTCTGGTATTTCAGGCGTCGGTATGGCGCTTCAGGTGCCAAGTTACTTAAGTCCGCGTTGTTTCTAGGCTCTAGCGCTTCATGCGTCAGCTCTCTGTAAAGTGGCACTTCAGGTGCCAATCCGGCGCCTGATGCGTCAAAATCACAAAATTGGCTATTTCGGCTCCAAATTTCCCTTTTTTTGCTAATTTTTCTCTAAACGCCTAAAATTGATATACCTTCAAAAAAACATGAAAATACCCATCTTTAAAGTGCAATATATCCAAAAATAAGCATAAATCATATACTTAAAATAACACATTATTTTGGTATATCAAAATCCCCCAAACTTAAATATTACGTGTCATCAAGTGACACTTTTACTACATAAAAATATGACTTAAGATAGAGATTAACTCATAAACTTCTATACTTTAGTTTAATAAATAAAATAGTTAAATTTAATAAAAACTTTTAATAACTTAGATTAAAACTATAAGTTTAAGAATATTTAGTAACCAAATATATGATTTTTGAATCTCTATTCATTTTAAGAAGAACTGTAATTTGTTATATCAATGATATTTAAAATATTCATATGAAAAATAACTTCATGAAAACTTTACTAGTAAGGTTGTTAATACTCAAATACAAGTTTATAAAATGTAATAAAGCTTTTTTTTTTCCTCAAGTTGATTCATCAAGTTGATTCAAGTGAAACCAATTTTTGTTAAGTATCACCTCAAGCTTCTCCTCACATCCCTTTTTTTTTATTCACGATCTTTTCAATCCTTTTTTTTTTCTTTTTCAAGTGAGGATTACTATATTTGGATAGCCTTTAATAATTTTGAACTTCACTATATTCTTCTTAAAGTTAAAACTTCTTACCTTTCTTCACTTTATAAATTCATATTAGTTTTGATGATTTTTCATAAAGTCTCA